GCCACAGGCTTGGAGCTGAACATTTATGCTTCTGAAAGACAATCAAGATCCAGACTGGCCCGGCTGTGGTGGCGCACGCCTTTAATCCCAGCACTTGGGAGGCAGAGGCAGGCCGATCTCTGTGAGTTGGAGGCCAGCCTGGTCTCCAGAGTGAGTTCAGGACAGGCTCCAAAACTACACAGAGAAACTCTGTTTCAAAAAACAAACAAACAAGATCCAGACTGGCAGTAGGACAGAACGTGAGTTCAGGACAGGCTCCAAAACTACACAGAGAAACCCTGTTTCAAAAAACAAACAAACAAGATCCAGACTGGCAGTAGGACAGAACACTGGACTGAGAGCTCTCTGAAGGTTGGAGAGGGGTGATGGCTGATATTAATTCTCAGCTTGACACAGTCTAAAATCATTTTTGAATCTCAATGAGAGACTGTCTAGATCAGGTTAGCCCCGTGGCACATGTGTGGCGGGTTATGTTGATTGTGTTAATTGAGATGGGAAAACCCAGCCCACAGTGGATGGGACCATTCCCTGGCAGGGGATCATGGGCTCTAAGGGTGGAGAAAGGGCGCTGCTCTTGACTGGATGTGATGTGACCATCCACTTCAAGTTCTTGCTGCCTGACTTCTCGCCAACAAGGACTGTCACCTGGAACAAACTCCTTCTCCCTTAAGTTGTTCTGGTCAGAGTATTTTGACAGCAACAGAAACAAGACTAAGACAGAAACTGGTACTGAGAAGCAGGGCTGTTGGCTGTGGTAGACCTGACCACATGGTTTTCAGGCCTTTAGAACTGTTTTGTGGGTGAGTTTGAAACTTTGGGCTAGGAAAACCATTGAATGCTGAGAGGCAGAGGTCTCAGTGAGCATTCCTCATCCTCAATTGACCCTTTATCCCATCTGTATAGCAAGGGAGCCAAGAGTTCCAGCAAAACCTGGTGGCAGCTGGAAGCTGAATCCAGTGGCCATGTCAGCTCTGCTCTCTGCAAGATGTCCTCCTGTTGGAGTCCAGCTAGGTGCAGTCTTAGGATAAACATGATGTCAGAAGTTGCAGTCTACAGAGTCTTGATGCATCCGTCAGTCATAGTGTCCAGCATTCAATTAACAAAATTAGGAGTCGTGGCCTTCGGTGGAGTTTCAGAGGACCGTGTGTGGGATTAGTTCTCCCACCATGTGGAGCCCAAGCACCCTTACCCAGCAAGTCATTTTGTGTTGTAAAAGAAGAAAGCTGGAGGACTTTGTAAACACCATCACAAAACTTTCTGTAGATCGAAGTGAAACAGCAGTGTTTGCATACAGGCAGGTGAGTGTCCGTGTCAGACAGAACCACCAAGAGTTACATGGTGAGAGTCATACCTCAAGAGCTGGGTCCAGTCAGCCTGATGTAGGGTTGGTGCACAGGTCTTTTTTTAGGATGATCCTGGAATTGTCTTGAATATCCTCACAAGGTTGGGTGAGAAAAAGTTGTTGCTTCAATGCTGGCTTTTTTTTTAGGAAGAACCCAGCTGGGTGATCCTGGAATTGTCTTGAATATCCTCACAAGGTTGGGTGAGAAAAAGTTGTTGCTTCAATGCTGGCTGGTTGCCAGCCTGCAAGACCCTATTCAGACTCAGTTTTCACCCATTTGACTCCTTCCACTGGCTTGTGGAATATGTTTCCACAAACTCCCTGTCCATCACTTCCTTCCCCCAGCCCATTGGAGCGAAGTCGGTGTCTGTCTCCAGGCGGGGAGGTGTCATCCACCAGGAGCAGTCTGCTCCTGAAGCCTGGGGCATTCATTTCCCTCAGTTCCACGTGGTTGGAATTGTAGACAGCAGCTCTGCCTCCAGCCTTGCTTGCTGTGTGACCGAAGTCTGGCTGGCTAATGTCTGCAAGAAAGGACTCTGAAGCCCTCACCTGGCCTAGGAGTCTGGGGGGTACAGTGGCAGGGCCAAAATTTGGCACAGAGCCCAGAGAGGCAGGGGAAATGATTTGTGTTATCTCTGGTGACAGTTCCCAAGAGACAAACAGACCTTTCTAGAGTTGGGCCCTGTGATGGGTCAGCAGGAAAGACCACAGAATGTTCTGAGGTGAGCCTGCACTCTGAGCATGGTGAGAGGATGTGTCACCTCAGTGTCTGCACACCATTGATGATGGCCTCTACAGGCAGGCAGAAGAGCCAGGAGAGTTGGGGCTGAGGCCACAGTGTGTGTGTGTGTGTGTGTGTGTGTGTGTGTGTGTGTGTGTGTGTGTGTGTGTGTGTGTGGGTGTGTCTTTGTGTGTGTGTGTGTTGGTGCTGAGATGTGTGTGTGTATGCATTCATGTGTGTTTATTGTTTTCCTTGGGATTGCCTGTGTCTCTCTGTGTGTGTGCCTGCATGTGTGTCTGTGTATTCCTGTTTGTATGCAAGCATGGGTGTATTATTTAACCTGCGTGTGTGTCTGTGTATTCCTGTTTGTATGCAAGCATGGGTGTATTATTTAATGTGCAAAATGGCCACCTCTAAGGATTTATGGGCCCCAAAAGAACAAGTGTCTTTTTAAAACTCAAGTTGATGGGTCAGCGAGATGACTCACAGGGTAGAGGCTTGCATGCAAGCCTGACACTTCAGTTGGATCTCTGGAGTCCAAAACAAAAAAAAACAAATAAAACAAAAAAGGTGTAAAGAGAGAATGGAGTCCACGAAATGATCTGACTATATACTCTGGCACATGCACCTCCCTCCCCATGCAATCACATGCATAATAATAAGTAGAAGTTATTTTTTAAAAAAGAACTTAATCTGAGCATGGTGGCACATCTCTGTCCACACAACACAGAATTCAGCAGGCTAGTGAGGCAGGAGAATTGTCATGAATGTGAGGCTAGCCCGGACCCCATGGTGAGCTCTAAGCCAGCTTGGGCTACAGAGTTGAGAGTGTCTTGAAAGAAACCAAACAACAATAAAAAATTTGATGTGGGCTTGGTTATTCAAAAGGCTCAAGGGTAGGTGGTCAGTTCTCCAAGTAACTGTTGTGGTATGACTTGTCCTCTGTTAGTCTTGTTCTCTGACCAGTGCTTGTGGGTTGGGACAGAAGGTGGGATGCCCAAAGCACCAGCCCTCCCAATCTTTGCCTTCAGCCTGTGGGATCTTACTGCTACTCAGCTCAGGGCTGCCATCTGCACCTCTGAACCCCAGGGCACAGATAACCTCCCAGGACTGTGGGCATGAGAAGGCAGGCGGACTGCTTAAGGAGACCGGCAACATGGGTGGGAAGGGTTCAGATTGCCAGTGAAGGATGAGATTGCCAGAGTGTGGGGCAGATGTCTTATCATCAACTACAAGACAGATGGAAAGGTGGTCTGGGGACTGCACTAGCTCAAGGAGAGCCTGGGAACCCCTGGACATGGGCAGAGGTCACAGAGCACTCTTGCAGGAGGTAACTATGGTGGTTTGAATGACAAATGTCCCCTATAGTCTTAGGCATTTAAGTACTTGGTTCCTGGTTGTTGGGAGGTATGGCCCTGCTGGTGGAGGGAGTATGTCACCAGAAGCGGTTTTGGGAGTTCAAAGCCATTAAACATGAAAGCCATTTTCAGTACACTCTTTCTGCTTCCTGCTGTGGTTTAAGATGTAAACATTGCACCCACAGTCAGGAAGCAGGGAGGGGGAGGTGACTGCTGGCATTCAACTTGCTTTCTCCTTTTTATTCAGTACAGGATCCCACCCTGTGCAATAATGCTTCCCACATTCAAGGTGGGTCTTTCCACTTCAGTCAGCCCACTCTATAATTCCCTCAGACAGGCTCAGAGCTTTGTCTCCTAGGCAATTGCCATAGCTATTTTTCTGTTGTTATGAAGAGATACCATGGACAATGCAACTTATAAAAGAAAGTGTTTGTCGGGCGTTGGTGGCGCACAGCACACCTTTAATCCCAGCACTTGGGAGGCAGAGGCAGGTGGATCTCTGTGAGTTCGAGGCCAGCCAGCCTGGTCTCCAGAGTGAGTTCCAGGATAGGCTCCAAAGCTACACAGAGAAACCCTGCCTCGAATAAACAAAAAAAAAAGAAAGAAAGAAAGAAAGAAAGAAAGAAAGAAAGAAAGAAAAAGAAAAAAAAGAAAGCGTTTAATTGGAGGCTTGTTTATAGTTTCAGAGGGTGAGTCCATGATAATCATAGCGAGGCGCATAGCAAGCGTTTAATTGGAGGCTTGCTTATAGTTTCAGAGGGTGAGTCCATGATAATCATAGCGAGGCGCATAGCAGCAGGCAGCCAGTCATCGCAGTAGCTGAGATTTTACATCTTGTCTACAAGTTGGAAGCAGAGAGAGACTGGAAGGCTGCCTGGGTTTGGCATAGGTCTTGGAAACCTCAAAGTCCATCCCCAGTGACACACTTCCTCCAGGAAGGCCACACCCCCTAATCCTTCCCAAACAGTTCTACCAACTAGGGACCAAACATTCAAATAAGCCTGTTGGAGCCATTGTCAAAGGACCACAGTGATTGTAGGCGCCCATCAAATTGACAGTCAGTGTTAATTAGTTGTCATGGGTAGCTTGGAGAAAGCCCAGGAGTTGTGAGCAGAATCCCAAACTTCAAGTTTTAAGTTGGTCTTTGCTTTCGTGAGTTCTAGCTTGAGAAGTGCACCACGTATTCCGTGTCTCTCTCCATTCCTCCATTCTACTTGGTGTCCACAATGTGTGAAAGGCAGCCGTATGTACCCTGATCATAATGATGGGGACACAAGGATGGTGAGACCTTGGGCTAGCTTCTCAGAACATTTGGGGACCCTGAGCACAGTCTGAGATGGGAGTTCTGCTCTGCTCTGGGGTAGGGGCTGGGCATTTCTGCTGACCAGCCAAAGAGGATCCCAGTGGAGGAAGGTGTCTCACACCAGGGCTTCTGGCTGGTGTCTCCAGCATTTACTCCAGGGTCAGGGCATCGCTGGGAAAGAAAGAGTCTAGGAAGACAGGCGGCTCCCTGTGACAGCCTCTGCTCAACCCCATTTAAACTCTGCTTTGTAGATGAGGAGCCTGAGCCGAGGTGGATGACCTTGCCAGGTGCATGGAAATGCTTTTTAGCCCCCAGTCCAGGTGGCTGGGCCTTTCTGCCTTGCTTACCCATCCTTCTCTGTGCAGCGAACATGACCTGGGTGAGGACATCTATGACTGTGTCCCATGTGAAGATGAAGGGGATGACATTTATGAAGACATCATCAAGGTGGAGGTGCAGCAGCCCATGGTGAGCGCTCCCACCCTGCCCTTGATATAGGAAACTCAGACTCCCATGGGGAGCTGCCTGAGTACAGAGACAGGTCCTTCCCGATTCCCCTTGGGCTCCCCTGCAATGTCCTTGCAGCCTTATCAGGACACTGGGGTGCCCTAGATGCCACCTAGGACTGTTGAGCCCCTCCAGCAGGGTGGCTACAAAATTTTCCTTGGAAGATTCTTAGTTGTTCCTATCCAGAGAGCCTTAAATAGTGATTCCGTGTTCAGTCTAACACAGTATGGCTGAGCACACATCATACTTCTTTGTGGGGAGAATGAGGAGAGCAGTGCGGGCTCTGTCGGCCAGCTGCATGCCTTTTATGTGGAAGGGTATTTATTTCCACGCAGCCTTGGCTAATGATCTTGTGGACGATGTTTTGTGCCAGCTCCGGCTTATTGCCAACAGCTGCTATGTGGAAGGTGGGGGGGGGTCCATTCTGGAGGGATGCAAAGAGGGGGCCCTGGAGGGGCAGGCCACAGCTCCCATAGGCCCCTGAACTCCCCAAAGGTGGGCACCATGCCATTTGTCAGATGTGGAGGCTTTTGACGCATTTGTGTTCCTGAAGAAGTGGGAAATTCATCAAAAGCCAATATTTCTGTCTCCTGTCTGTGTGGGAGCCTCCAGCTGGTGTCAGAGAAGAATCCTGAAGAGCCTCAAGAGCCTTTTCCAGGCTGGTGGCATCCTGCTGTGTCCCCGGCTTGTGAGGAGAGATGGAAGGCTATGTTTGGGGCATTACAGTATCTCATGCCACCCTTAAGAACACGGCACACATTTGTCCCTGAGAATCTAATAATCAGTCTCCTTCCCCATCATGTTCAGGGCTTCTGCTCCAGAGCAGGTGGAGAGGCTCAGCTCTCCGGCCTTGCAGGCAACCTGATTGGGGCTTCCCCAGAGCTGGCCTGAAATGGCCTAGGAAACATCACCAGGTTTATTAAGGCCTTGGATGCCCTGGGGGTAAATGTCAGCATCCAGGCACAGTAGCCTGGGCATATTTGAAGGGCCCCCATGCCCAGGCTATAAGGTTCTGTCTTGAGACTCCTGCAGCTCTGCCAGGAGCCTGTCACTGTCCCTGGTCCTGAAGAACACCAGGGCAAGGACAGGCTTGTCTGTGTTCTGAAGGACAGCCGGTGTTCTAGTGTCTAGCGCTGGTGATGGATCCTTTGAGCTGTCTGGTCCATCCACAGACGGGATGTAGACTTACTGCTGTGAGGGGCCTCTGAGATAAACAACGGGTTCCCCCACTTCTCATCATGTCTGGAACTAGCTGAACCAAACTGTCTTAAGTGGGAGGTAATGGGAATGCACTTTCTATAAAATAAGATAAAGACAGGTGCTGCTTTGAGAGCCCAGGCATGGGAGGATCAGCCAGGAGGCTCTCTCTCATCCTTAGGTAGTGTCCTGATCTTTTCTCAGCAGGCTCTGGGAAGGGCTGTGCCCTGGCTTCTGGGGCTAACAGGGGGGTGGGCTGTCAGTGGTATCCCTGATTTCCCAAGCGTGGCTTGAGGACAGTGGACACTGCTGACTGGTTCAATCTTATTTGCTCTTCCATGCATTCAGATCAGATACATGCAGGTAAGTTGCAGGTAAGACAAGGCCAGGTGGGCTCCTGTCAGCTCTGTCTTCCTACCTGTCCGGAAGGTAGCAGAGGTCATAGAGAAAGCTCAGGACTGTGTTGTTAGTGAGACACTGTCAGGCACACAGGGTTGTACGGGGTCTCGAATCAAGATCTGCCCCAGGGATCTCATCCCCACCCCCTCCCATGCAGCCTCAGATAGTGGTGGACCTCACCAGGCCCCCGTTTTGCACAGTGCTGGAGAGTACTGTGGCCACATCATAGAGGCGCCTCTTAGGACCAACCAGAGTATACCTGGGTAGGTACCTGCTGAGTGTTATGTCTTCAGAGTCTTTTGGGGCAGACCAAGTTCTCTGAGCCTGAGAGAACCCAAAGAAAGTAGCTATAAAGCCCACCACAGCCTGAGTGGGGTCAAACTTCTGCTTCATTCCATCCTGTGCAGGCCATCTCTCAATCAGGCCCTGTCCTCTCTGCTAGAGAGGTATGTCCCCACGAGACCCACTGATGAACTGCTATCTTGGTCCTTCTGCCCAGAGGCAGGTGGCTTCTCAGGAAGTCTGGCCTGTGGGACATTTGGTAAAGCTAGAATGGATCAGCTGTGGGTCTTCAGGGAGTTGGCCAATGCCAGCTGCTGGACAGGGTTGATCCACTCACACAAGGGCCATGACCACACCTCACCTGTATGTGGTAGGGCCATCTCCTGAGGCCTTCACTTCACTCTGGTGAGGACTCGAGGTTTCGAGTCAGGAGTGATACCCAGGAATCTAGAAGTTTCCGTGCCTTCCTTGGTGCTTTCACTAAGTCCTCTCCTATCCATGGGCCTCAGTTTCCTCAACCACAAATAATGGGAAGAGCTTGTGACCTCACTGTACATTCAGTAGTCTTGTGGCCATACTGGGAAGATGTCACCCTGTTGTGTGGGGCAGGTAGCCAGGGCCCCATGGGACAGATGGGGACCTGGGTGTCCAGGTAGTGGGATCGGATCCTGGCTCACATCTCGCATCTCCTCTAGAAAATGGGCATGACTGAGGATGACAAGAGAAGCTGCTGCTTGTTGGAGATTCAGGAGACTGAGGCCAAGTACTACCGCACCCTGGAGGACATCGAGAAGGTGAGCCCCGGCTTTGCTCAGAACCCCAGGGTGGAGGACTTAGCACCTGTTCTTCTGGTCTCTCTGTCGCTGTGATTAAAACACTGACAAAAGGAACCTAGGGGAGAGAAGAGTGTATTTTATCCTAATTTCGTGATTACAGTCACTAATGAAGGAAGTCAGTACAGGAACTCAAGCAGAAACCATGGAGAAAAGCTGTCTGTGCTTCGCTGCTTTCTTATACAGTCCAGGACCACCTGGCCAAGGGCTGCTGCTACTCACAGTGGCCTGGGTCCTCCTGCATCAGTTAATATCAAGCCAGCCCCCACAGACAGGCCCACAGGACAACCGAGCTGGGTGATCCCTCCATTAAAACTCCCTTTTCAAGTGATTCTAGACTGTGTCAAGTTGACACAGCACACTGGGATAGCAGCTCCTCCTCCTTGCCAACACATTCCCACACACAGGAGCCTCCCCTTGTTCTGTGGAAAGCCCCCTGGCCTCTCCTGCATGTCTTCTCAGAGTTCCTATCTAAACCAGCCATGCTTGCAGCTCTGTTTTGAACATGTGAGGTCAGATCTTGAGGTAAGTTCCCTAAGCCCCTCCTTGTCCTGTGGGAACTACTGGTGCCTTTGTTGGTGGCCAGGAATGTGATGGGCATTGTGACTAGATGTCACCCAAGCCCAAGTACTGCCAGTGACCTCTACCCAACCACCTAGCCCCCATCACCACCCAATAGGCCTGACTTTCTTTCTTTCTTTCTTTCTTTCTTTCTTTCTTTCTTTCTTTCTTTCTTTCTTTTCTTTCTTTTCTTTTTTCTTTTTTCTTTTTTTTGGTTTTTTTTTTTTGTTTTTTTTTTTTTTTTTTGGTTTTTTGAGACAGGGTTTCTCTGTGTAGCTTTGGAGCCTGTCCTGGCACTCGATCTGGGGACCAGGCTGGCCTCAAACTCACAGAGATCCGCCTACCTCTGCCTCCCGAGTGCTGGGATTAAAGGCATATGCCACCAATGCCCAGCAGGCCTGGCTTTCAAATCTTCCTGATGCATCTGTGTTCTTGTGTGTAAAGAGCAACATCCTTGTCAGGCTAAAATCCTGGCAGTTCTCTGGTGTGGAGTTGGCCCCCGTGTGGCCAGAATGGTGAGTGAAGCCTCCAGCCAAGGGTCCTGGGGTACACTGCCCTTTGGCCAGGCTGACTGTATTGTGGCCTCCACAGAGCTGTACTGAGGGCATGGATTGTGGTCTTGGTTCCAGCCTGCCTTGCCCACCATGCAGTCCCATACTGCCTCTTTTCATGTGCTGTCCAGTGAGCACTGAGCACCTCCCTGTGCTTGGCAGCTTTGGCTTTGAGTGTGGCAAGCACCTACGTACTGAGTGGCAGCATAAACTTCTTCCTTCCAGAACTACATGGGCCCCCTCCGGCTGGTGCTGAGCCCGGCGGACATGGCTGCCATCTTCATCAACCTGGAGGTATGCATTCTGGCATGTTCCTGCTGGGCATGCAGCTGTCTCATTCTGGGGACTGTGGTTTCAGGAGGCAGAAGATGAGGTGTGGCCTGAGACTTTTCCGTGTTCTATGTCAGTTGTCAGCCGAGCACAGATTCACACCGCTCTGGAAGGGACTTGAGACCCATGGGACTATAAGCAAGGCTTCTGATTAGCATGGAGGGAAGTGTGCCCCACACCCGCTCTGCAGGCACCTGGCCACTCATGTGTACCAGATGACCCTGTGTGTAGGTTAACCTGTGCAGGCAGCTGGCTTACAACTCCAAAAGCAACACATGAGTGGATGCCCTCCACAGCATGCTCTCTCACCACCTCTGTCAGAGCAAGGACTGGGGTGGGGCTGGGAGGATCAGGGAATCTTAGTCTTTCACACGGGGCTGACCAGAGTGTCCCTTTTACTGTCTGGGCCCCAACCAGGACAAATGACTTAGGACAGAAAAGAAGCTGGGAGGGAAGAAGGGGGTGGCCAGTGTGCTGTGCACTGTTCTGTGTCTGCTGGGAAACTTAAAGAAGCATGCTTCTTCCAGGCCAAGGTGACATAGTGAGAGCATTATGTCTTGCAGAAACTGAGAGCTGAGTGGCTGTGGGCCTCTCAATTCTTCTGAGCAGCAAGGAGGCCTACCTGGTCACTGTGATGGGAGTTCAACCTGTGGTTTAGTGGAGGGCAGAGCATTTGGCCCAGGATGGTTTTGAATGCAGCCCTAACACTAAATCTCAAGTTTACCTAAAACATTGTGAGACTGTTTTTTGTTTTTTCATTGTGAGACTTTTGTTTTATATTTTTGTAATTAAATTGTGTAATTCTTGAAAGCCAACTCTGTTGATGGCACTGGGCTGCAATATCAGAAAGTTAGACACACATGGCAGAAACTTCCAGCAGAGTGGCACTGGCATCCACAGGCCTGGGTGAACACCCAGCAGCACCTCATGGGTGTGCCTGGCCAGCGCTGACACTGCTGCTTTCCCTCTAGGACCTCATCAAGGTGCACCACAGCTTTCTGCGGGCCATTGATGTGTCCATGATGGCTGGTGGCAGTACCCTGGCCAAAGTCTTCCTGGAGTTCAAGGAAAGGTGAGTGACAGCTGGCTAGACAAGAGCCTCAGCTCTGTCTTCAAGGCTTTGGAGACCATGTGGACCTCTCTCTACCAGCCCAGGCAGGATGACAGAAGCAGGGTATTTTACGGAGGTGTAGCCTCACATTGTGGGGACTGAGGCAGGTGGCTACTTATCTCTGTATCCTTGTTCCTCTTTGTAACCAGGGTCACTACCCATTGTTTCTCCATACAGCTTGGAGGGCTGGGTACCTCCGACCCTCCGAGCTTCATTTAGACTGTAGGGACTTGTAGGGGGCCCTGCAACCCTCTCTGCCTCTCTGGCTTGTTAGGGTCATGGTGGCTGATGTTTGTAGAGAAACATGACAGCTTGAGTTACTTGACGTGTTCCACTCCACCCTTGACTCTGGGTGCTGCAGGCTGTTTGGGAAGAGGTGCCCACCCTTTGGTAGTATTGGAACTTGGTGTCCAAGTGCAGCAGTTACACCCCCTGGGTTCAGCCATTGTCTTTAGCTCTCCAGCAGGCACTGGAGGGAGGATGAAGCAGATATAGAACAAAGGTGGAGACCCATGTGCTCAGCATCACAAGAGAGACGGGCACCTTTCAAGGCCACAACCCAAAGCTTTGTAGTGCCTCCTCTGTGAAGGCAAGTCATTTATTATCATCATCATCATCATCATCGTGTCCCCCCATCCCAGTCTCCTCGGGACAGTGATCAGATAGAGGTATACCAGGGTAGGCTTATAATTTAGGACAAACTGATATTGTCTGAGATGCATGAGGTTAAGTGTGTGCCTCTGTGGCCTTATTTCCAAGTTGTGGGTGACCCCCCCTTCTTTCTGTGTGCCTCTGTGGCCTTATTTCCAAGTTGTGGGTGACCCCCCCTTCTTTTTAATCATGTGTATGTGTGTGGGTACATGCATAAGAGTACAGGTGCCCGTGGAGGCCAGAAGAGGGCATCAGATCCCCCTGAAGCTGGAGTTATAAGTGGTTGAAAGCCATCCAACATGGTTGCCAGGGACCAAACATGGGCTGTTGTATTTAAGAAAAGCAGTGCACAAGGGAAAGACATCATGTGACAGGGTTCAAGCAGAGGATTTTTGTTTTGTTTTTTAATTAGGGAAAGGGATCAAAAAGGGAGAAAGGGAAGAGGGGAGACTGGCCTCCAGAGACAGGAGAAGCAGGAGAGAGGGAGGGAGGGAGGGTAGGCAGGGCCCTTTTAAAAGGGAACACAGTGAATATGCACAGGTGGTGCTCTTAGTGGCTGCAGCTGAGGGCATATCCTGTCAAAACCCCAAGGACGGGCCAGTACAGATGCCTAACACAGACCCTCTGCAAAGAGCTGGAAGTATTCTTAACCTCTGAGCCATCTCTCCAGGGCCAACCTTTTTCTTAATAGTATTAAGTGTTGATGGTTAAGATAAAGGCCTGCTAACTCTTCCATCTATAGCCAACTTCCTCCAGCACTCTCAGAATGAACCATTTGTTCAGTTTTGAGGAATAGTGAAACTGTGTCTCTAGAGTCTGCTTAGAAGCTCTGTGTATGGACAGAGGTCAGGGGAGGGTCTGCAGGAAAGTCCCTGATTGCTGTACCTAAGGCTTCAAGTATCGGAAGTAGAGGGTTTGATGATTCCTGAAGTGATCATAGGCACTGGCACAGGTGGAGCTCCTTGGGGAGACAGCACAGGGTTATGCTACACAGTATCTGTGGACTTCAAAGATGAGACTCACACATATGTGCTGAGCAAGCTCTCAACTTGTGAGCTACATCCATCCCCGACCCCCCTTTAAGCCTACAACTTGTTTCCTGCTTCTGCTGGGAATGTAGGCATGCATTTGTTGGGATAGGTAGGGCCAGAGGCCCTTTGGGGTCCTTTGGGTGGAACAAGGAGCCCTGCCAGGGGCCTGCTTGTCAAGCTAGCAATGCACTGGTACCAGGGCTCCTGACTGCTGCCTTCTCCTCTGCACCTAGACTTGAGTTTGGGAAGGGGCTGAGTGTCATCTGGTCCCAAAGCCTATGTGTATTAGTTACTTGTCTACTGCTGTGATAAGACATCTTACATACAAAAAAAAAAAAAAAAAGAGTGTTTAATTGGACTAACGGTTTCCAGAGAATTAGAGTTCACGATGCCTTGGTTCTGTATCGCTGTGAGAGACACTGTGACCAATACAACTCCTGTAAAATAAAACGTGTAATTGGGGCTGACTTACAGTTTCAGAGTTTTAATCCATTATCATCATGTCAGGGACCATGGTGGCATGCAGGCAGACATGGTACTGGAGAAGCAGCTGAGAGTACTATATTTGGATCCAACAGTAAGAGCCACTGGGCCTGGCTTGAGCTTTTGAAACCTCAAAGCCCATCATCCCCAGTGACACACTTCCCCCAACAAGGCCACACCTCTTAATCCTTCTCAAGTAGTGCCTCTCCCTGATGACTAAGCGTTCAAATATATGAGCCTATGGGGGCCATTCTTATTCAGATCACTGCAATGGTAGGACAAAGACTTGGTGGCTGGAACAGCTATGAGCTCACATCCAAATCCTCTCACCGGAGACAGAACACCAGGAAACAAAGTTCACCCCCAGCCACATACTTTCTCCCCTAAGGCCACACTTACCTAATCCTTCCCAAACAGTTCTACCAACACACACACACACACACACACCAACACACACCACACACACACACACACACACACACACACACACACACACACACACACACACACCCCACATATAACATTCTCATTCAAACCACTACACTAGGAACGAGAGACTTGCCTAGAGTTGCCCATGAGGCACGGCCTGATTACCCAGGAGCCGTTATCAGGTGTTTCTTCCTGAGTGGCTCCTGAAAGAGGTCTAGCCAGCTGCCTTAGTCCCAGGTCTGTTGCCTAAGAGGAATAAGAGTCCCATTGGACAGTGACTATTGCACAGTGGCTAGAACTGTTAGATCCCCGGAAAACTCAGGTATCTGGTATCCCAGGCCATGACCTCGGTCACCCCAATCACCAGGCAGATTTGAGAGCTTGCTGCAAACTGCATGAGGCTTTATTGTAATTTAACGAGCTAACCCCATGTTAGCTTGGGTC